ATATTTGTTCATTCACTCATTCACTTATTCATTCATTTATTCTTTTCTCCAACAGCCTCATGAAGAAGAACCAGTGTAGTGTTAGCCGTAATGGATAGAGTGGTCCTTGAGTCACCCTCCCTGTGGCCTAACACTTAGAGACTGTTACTCAATAGGGGCCGCACACCTACCCAGGGAATGAGTAAAGCATATTCTAAATTAACTGGTAACTTCAGGCATAAGTACATGGAAACATTTTTACAGTTCTAACTTGTATGCCTCTTGGAGAATTTGTGTTCTTTGTGTGTGTGTACACAGGGCTTACAGAAGCCATGCATGCCCATTGTGAAATATTTCTTTTGTTTTTTTTTTTTTGAGTTGGAGTCTCACTGTCGCCCAAGCTGGAGTGCAGTGGCACGCTCACGGCCACCCCAGCATCGACTTGCTAGGCTCTGGCAATCCTTCCACCTCAGCCTTCCAAGTAGTTGGAACTACAGGCACGCGCTACCACGCCCGGCTAATTTTTTTGATTTAATGTAGAGACGAGGTCTTGCCAAATTGCCCAGGCTGGTCTCGAACCTGCGGGCTCAGGCAATCCATTTGCCTCAGCCTCCCAAGTGCTGGGATTACAGGCTGAGCCACCGAGCCCGGCCGTGAAATATTTCTCTCTTTTTTTTTTTTTTGAGTTGGAGTCTTACTCTGTCACCCAGACTGGAGTGCAGTGGCCGCTCCCGGCCACCGCAACCTCGACCTGCTGGGCTCCGGCGATCCTTCCGCCTCGGCCTTCCAAGTAGCCGGAATTACAGGCATGTGCTACCACGCCCAGCTGATTTTTTGATTTATTGTAGAGATGAGGTCTTGCTGCCCCGGCAGGTCTCGAACCTGCGGGATCAGGCAATCCACTCACCTCAGCCTCCCAAAGGAACGGGATTACAGGCTGAGCCACCGAGCCCAGCCCGTGAAATATTTCAACACTGCAGATGTATGTGATGCAGTGAGTGAGAATCCCCAATGCTTAGAAATCATCCCTGTCCCCCAAACTGGAAAAGGCCATGCTGATCGTGTCATTAAATGCAGAGGACAGCACTGTACATACTGTAATTTTATAGATGATGTCATGTGAAATAGCATGAATCTTGTTCTGGATCTCAACTTTTTAAAATGCATAATTAAGTGTATTTAAGATGATTTAAAATAAATTATGAGTCATACCTCAGCCTTTCTTAACCAGTGAATTGAAATGTGATGTGTCAAAATCGAGTTAAATCCATATTCTCCATGGATGCGCTTTTGATTTGCACATAAGGAAAAGCAGGCAGGCAAAAGTGAGACAGTTTCACACGCTGTATTGACATTCAACAACGAGAAGGTCAGAGTAGGGAGCTGATGTCAATATGTTCATCCCGAACCGCAATAAAGCTGTCCGGGCAACTGCAGTCCCAGCTGCCATTTCCCTCCTTTGGGTGAGAAATGCAACATTCAGGCCCACAACTCTTTTGCTAGGAAAACACTGTGCCTTAACAAAGGTTTGCTTTTTCTATATCAACTTCATCTTGATTTCAAGTTTTAAAGACAGACTTTCCATGTCAGATAGGGCTTTATTTGACAAAAAGAATACGAGATGACAGCTAAGATTTCTGTCACATGAAAATTACCAAATAATTACACGGTATTTATCATTCTGAGTATCACAAAATGAGTTAAGCACGCCATTTTGCTTTCTGATATTTTACTGGGTTACTGGGAACACTTTTCTTGGGGTTATCACCAGCAGCTTTAAATGTTGGGAAAAATGTGTTCCCTCTACCTTCTTTTTTTCCGAAGAGACAGTCAACACAAGTCACAGAAAAAAAGGTAACATGTCACTGTAGCCTGACACTATGGAATTTTCCATTTTTCCATCAGGAAAACTACCTTAGGATGGGCAAAATCCTTCAGAAAGAGGACTGTACAACGACCTCAGCTACCCTAGAGCTTACATGTTTTAACTCTGCGAGACCCACTAAGTGTCCATTTTTGAAAAGTGAATTTGGGAAAAATTAGGGAATTAAAAAAAAATTAAGAACTGTTTCACAAGGCAGTTCTAATCTATATTCAGCACAACCCAATTTAAAATGTATATTGGCTTTCCACCTATTCCCCCATCACAGAGCAGCCTGTGAGAGGCCATTAGCACACAGTGTAGAAGTGCCAGCATCACTTAAGAGCGACTCACTCAATGGCGACTGGCAAGGACTCTGAGTTGTGGTCACTTCATCTCAGAATAGAATCTGGGGAACAACCTGAAGGCACCATGATAAAAAAAAAAAAATCTTTGATGTTGGGTGGGATATGCAAATACGAATGAGAATAGGGTGCCTGAGTACTGTCAGAGTGTGCTGCATTTTTTTTGGGAAATGAAACAAAATCTTCCCATGATCAGCCACTCCATGTGACATTCCAACCCACACTCTGCTACTGACATTTTATCTCCCACTGAACAGCCCGGCTGTTGTAACATTTTCAGGATTCTTAATTTATGTCTTGCAGGATCTAAAATCAGATGGCAGGAACTTTAAGAAAATATCCAGTGTTGACAGGCACCTTATACTTCAAGACGCTGGTACACCTTAGTGCTGTTAAAAGTTGGAAAATATTCCTGTCTTTTTTTCTTCCAAAATAGATCCAGAAGACAGTGGGATGGAGAGAGTAGCCATCCTAAATCATTTCATTTCTCTTTTCAATCTCAACTCTACAAAAGGCCTTTTCCTGCACTCGGTATTTACTAGGAAGTTCATTCCCCTTTCTCGGTATAAGGGACTCCAGGTTTTAATTAGTATAAACAAGAATCTTTATGGTAACCAAGATTCTTATATATAGCCAAGAACTACATAGGCCAGGCACGGTGGCTCACGTCTGTAATCCCAGCACTTAGGGAGGAGAAGGCGAGAGGATTGCCTGAGCCCAGGGATTTGAGACCAGCCTGGGCAACTTGGCAAGACCTGGTCTCTACAGTAGATTCAAACAATTAGCTGGGCGTGGTAGCATGTGCCTATAGTTCCAGCTACTTGGAAAGCTGAAGTGGAAGGATCGCCGGAGCCCAGCGGGTGGAGGCTATGGTGGCTGTGAGTGTGCCAGTGCTCTCCAGCCTGGTCAACAGAGTGAGACTCCGACTAAATAAAACAAAAACAAAAAACCAACAAAAACCATATAAAAAGGAAATGACCCAAAGGTCAGATCAGCAATCTGACTTAGTGTAAGCTTTATAATTCACGAAACTGTTGAGTCTCAGGACCCTGGTGAGGGAAGACACGATGACAATGAGACTGAAGAGGCAACCAAATGGAAATGACTAGTCCCAAGTCACTTAGTCTTGGAGGAATTGGGCCTAGAACCCAATTGGCATATTCTTTCCATTACATCACCATGCGGCATTGTAAAAGCAGCAACTTTGGATTGGCTTATCACATGAATCTGCTGAAATCTTTGCAAGGTATTGGCAATGCTGAAAACTTGGGGCTCTTGGGCTTAGGCCTTCCAAAGCCAGAATGCTGGTGTACACCCTCGGTCTGGAGTGCTCAGCCTTGACCCTCTTCTCAGAACAGATTTACATCTATTTTTATCTGTAACACAATGCTTAAGAGAACAGCGTCCTGAGCCAGGTGACTAGCTCTGCCACTAACTGCTGACCTAAGCAAGTCTCATTTTCCTGTACTGTAAAATAGAGATGATAATTGCACTCATAGGATTGCTGTGAAGATTAAATGAGTTTAGGAAAATGCCATATAGAGGTTAGTTAGTATCATCCATCAATTTGCTACATGATTTCATAAATGCACTAGAAATGCATCTATAATACTGCCTGTGAAAACCTATGGTCAGATGAGAAAGCTAAGAAAAGCCTTGATCCATCTCTGGAGAGTAGGAAACTAGTATACTCCTTTTATATAGTACCTTGCATATAGTGGAGGCTTAAAAGATACTTTTTTTTTTTCCTTTTGAGTTGGAGTTTCACTCTGTCACCTAGACTGGAGTGCAGTTGCACGCTCCTGGCCACCGCAGCCTCAACCTGCTGGGCTCCAGTGATCCTTCTACCTCAGCCTTCCAGGTAGCTAGAATTACAGGCGTGCACTACCACGCCCAGCTCATTTTTGACTTATTGTAGAGATGAGGTCTCGCCAAGTTGCCCAGGCGAGTCTTGAACCTGCAGGCTCAGGCAATCCACTCACCTCAGCCTCCCAAAGCACTGGGATTACAGGCTGAGCCACCGAGCCCGGCTTAAAAGATATCTTTAAATGGAACTGAAGTGAATACTACCATAGCTGAAAGCAGGAAGTCTCAGATCTTTCAGGCTCAAGGTCCAGATTTCACAAGTGTTTCTGGTCACCTCTGCCCTACCTCATCTATCTCAAAGAGCAGAGGCCAGGAAACCAATTCCTTCCCGTAAAACTCAGGTGAGGATAAAATCCAGTTCTAAGAAACTGCAACATTTACATCCTGGTGCCTGAAGTATAGGTCACTCTGCACGTGTATTTTCTCTGCACAAAGTCCAGGAGCCTACTTTTATTTGTTTTATTTTATTTTAGTACCCTTGGTACTAAATAGCCCTCAGCTTCCAAATTATCTGCTTGCTCCCACTCCCAGGTTGCCAGGGTAAGCTTGATTGACAGGCCAATACTCCTGAACAGGCTAAATAAGAACAGGGTGTTTCAGGAGGTGATGGAGGTTGGGAGAAAAGAAATGAGACGCCAAGCAAGTAAAGTGTGGTAAAGGAAGAGAAGCCTTCAACCCAACCGTCAGGTGACGGCCCCGCAGCACGGGATATCTCCGACCGTCGCGTTTTCGCCTGGTCCTGGCTTCCACTCAGCCCCGCCCAGACCCCGCCCCTCCGGCCCCAGACTCCGCCCCTCCGGCCCCAGACTCCGCCCCTCCGGCCCCAGACTCCGCCTTTCCAACGCAAGGCCCCGCCCAGGCCCCGCCCATAGCCCGCCCCACCTAACCCTGGCAGTACCTCAGCCGTTGGGCTTAGTCCGCGAGCGCTTGCGCACTTCTTGTGGCGCTTTGGTACTGCCCGAATCTAAATGGGGAAGGAGGGCGCTTCATATTTCCTACAGACCCCACCACAGAGGCTTTTCCTGCTCTCTTCGAGTTGATTTTTCCTTTAGTGCTCCTGAGAACCCGGCTTCTGGTTCCCTGATCTGGCTTAAGAGGGCTCGTTTTAAGTGAGGCGCGCCCCGGGCAGCCCGACTCCTGGCGCAGGGTCCTTGCGCCGAGCCTTGGGGCCGCGACCGGGGAGGCGGGGTCCTTCTCTGGGGCGGTCGCACGGGCAGCGGATGTGGAAGCCGGACTCCGGGCGTCATGTACTACAAGTTTAGTGGCTTCACGCAGAGGTTGGCGGGAGCGTGGGCTTCCGATGCCTATAGCCCGCAGGTACGAGTCGCGCCTCGTCAGTTCCGACACGAGAAAGGGCGGCCCGAGCCTCCGCACCAGGCAGTCGCGGTGGTGGAGCCGGGAGAGGGTTCTGCCCGCGGTTGGTTCGTTTCGGTAGTCCTTGCACCTCTCCGCTCCGGCCTGCAGTGGTCCTCGGGGCCCCTCTTTGGGCCGCTGCTTCCCTAGCGGGGCTGGTCCCCGGCGCGGAAGTTCGGTGTGGCACTCAGCAGGGGTCAAGGTGACCCCCGGGGTCGTTGCTTGCCTAGGAGGGGTTAGGGTTGGCGGGGCCCAGAATGTGACCCAGCCGAGTCCGAGGGTTGGCCTCCTCCCTCTCTCGGAGGAGATCCGGCTTTCAGCTTCCGCATCGTCCATTTGTCACCTCCTGTTCCAAGCACGAGATTGGAGAGCGGGGGTGAAGGCGTTTAGGGACGCCATGGGGTGGGAGGGGCCGTGTGATCTGGATTAGGCCCCGGGTCCTTCAAATGTCCGGGGGCGCCGGCAGAGTGACATGCAACAACAGTGTTTCGCTTTCCCGGCTGTCAGTGGGAAACGTTCATGGTTTGGGTGCTCTGAAAAGTATTCCGATTTTATTCAGATTCTACCCATTGGGGTTTTAGACTCCAGCTTGAGATTTTAGAGTTTCAAGCAAATTTGGGCTCAAATCATGGCGTTTGCCACTTTAATGGTGTGACCTCGGGCAATTTACTTTCCTTTATTGTGAGCTCAGCTTCATCCGGGACAGCTTTAGTGCAGATTAAATGAGGTGTGTGTCGAGGGATTAGCAGTTTCGCAGGCGATTGTTGTGGATAAATGCTAGTTGTTCTCCAGCGAGAGGACGTTGTATTCATTTCTCATTCTCCTAGAGCTGTTTGGGAGGGTTGGTGGACACGCAGTGGGACGGATGAGTAGTAAGGTGCCCAGGTAAGGTGTAAAGGATTCTCCTGTTGCCTCCTCCTCCTTTTTCTGTGGAACACCTCCATCTTGCCTAAAAGAAAAAAAAAATTTTTTTTTTTGGGTTGGCATCTCACTCTGTCGCCCAGGCTGGAGTGCAGTGGCATATCACAGCCACCGCTGGGCTCAGGCAGTCCTTCTGCCTCAGGCTTCCAAGTAGCTGGAACCACAGGCGTGTCCTACCACACCGGCTAATATTTTATTTATTCTAGGGACAAGGTCTTGCCAAGTTGCCCAGGTTAGTCTCGAACCCCTGGGCTCAGGCAGTCCTCTTGCCTTGGCCTCACAAAGTGCAGGGTTTACAGGGTGTGTGCTAGCACGCCTAGCTGAAAATGGTTAAGAATTATTTTAATCTAAGGTAAGGAAGGCAAGAAGGGCAAGTTTTTTAGGGTGGGTGGGAATGGGGAGGAAGATTTTAGCATTTATAAATGTAGAGCTTATGAAACGTCCTGTCGGGTAGCCGCCGGGTTTATGAATAGAGTTTAATAAAGAGACCTTACTTTCTTCAGCCCATAGGTGGTGGTAGAAGCTGTGGTGGCGATACCACCCAGGAGTATATAGGGAAGAAAGATGGAACCATAATTAGATTACAGAAACATGAAGGGAGAGTGGAGAAGGAAGATTTATCTAAAGTGGGGGCTCCCAATCCCCAGCCATGGACCAGTGCCAGTCTGTGGCAGGTTAGGAACCAGACTGCACAGCAGGAGGTTAGCAGTGGGTGAGCTCTGTCTCCTGTCAGATCAGCAGCGGAATTAGATTCTCATAGGAGCATGAACCCTATTGTGACATTGTGAACTGCATGCGGGATCTAGGTTGCACGCTCCTTATGAGAGTCTAATGCCTCATGATCCCCCCTACCCTCCATCTGTGGAAAAATTGTCTTCCATGATGCCAAAAAGATTGGGGACCCCTGAGCTAAAGAGCAGTCTAGGATTAGAAGGGAAACCAGTGTGATGTCACTAAAACCAAATTGGTAATGAGTTGTAAGGAAGGAGTTATTAGCAATGGTAATGTCTTTTACAGATTATGTGGGGAGAATGACCATTTCTGTCGTATCTGCTTCTACTGTAAAGTGTATTTTTCAGTGCATGGCTCTTAAATGTTACAATTTGGTGACTTGACAAATGCCTACACTGTGTAACCCACACCCCCTCCATGTACCAGAACATTACATCACCCTAGGAAGTTCCCTCATACCCTCTTCCTGTCAGTCCTTGTCCACCTTCCTATTCTGACTTTTATCACCATAGGTAGTTTTGACTGTTTTTGAACTTCATGTAAATGGAACCATACAGTATGTACTCCTCTTGTAAGGCGTGTTTTTCTTTTCTTTTCTTTCTTTTTTTTTTTTTTGAGTTGGAGTCTCACTCTGTTTCCCAGGCTGGAGTGTAGTGGCACACTCCTGGCCACCGCAGCCTCGACCTGCTGGCTCAGGTGTTCCTTCTGCCTCAGCCTTCCAAGTAGCTGGGACCACAGGAATGCGCCACCATGCCTGGCTAATTTTTCTTGATTTATTGTAGAGATAGGGTCTCATCAAGATGCCAGTGGGGGCTGGTCTCGAACCCCTGGGCTCAGGCAATCCTCTCACCTCCGCCTCCCAAAGTACTGGGATTACAGATGTGAGTCACCGCACTTGGCTTTTTTTCCTTAATATAATATTTTCTAAGGTTCATCCCTGTTACATATATTAGTAGTTAATTCCACTTATTGTTCTGTAGGATTTAATTGTATGAATATATCACAAGTGATCTGGTAGTGATTGTAGATTTTTTTATTTTTTTGAAACTGGGTTTTGTTATGTTGCCCAGGCTGGTTTTGAACTCCTGGGCTCAAGCTTCCTCCTGAGTAACTGGGATTACTGGTGTGTGCCACCACACTCAGTTTATGTTCTTTTAATAGGTCTTTAGTATAATTTGGTTTTCATTTACTAGTAAGGAAAAAGCAAAAATTTTTTTTTTGAGTTAGAGTCTCACTCTGTTGCCCAGGTTGGAGTGCAGTGGCACACTCATGGCCACCTCAGTGTCAGCTTGCTGGATTCTGGCAATCCTTCCTCCTCAGCCTTCCAAGTAGCCGGAACTACAGGCGCGTGCTACCACGCCCAGCTAATTTTTGATTTGTTGTAGAGATGATCTCACCAAGTTGCCTAGGTTGGTCTTGAACCCAGAGGCTCAGGCAGTCCATTCGCCTCGTCCTCCCAGAGTACTGGGATTACAGGCTGACCCACTGAGCCTGGCCAAAACAAATTTTGAACTAAAAACTGACATGTTGGGACTGGGCACAGTGGCTCACATGCCTGTAATCTCAGCACTCGGGAAGGCTAACCTGGGAGCATTGAGGCCAGGAGTTCAAGACCAGCCTGGGCAACATAGACCTCTGTCTTTACAGAAAAATTTAAAAATTAGCTGAGTGTGGTGGTGCATGCCTGTAGTCCCAGCTATTTGGAAGGCGGAGGCCGGAGCATCATTTATGCTCAGGAGTGGAGGTTGTGAGGAGTGATGATTATGCCACTGCACTCCAGCCTGGATGGCAGAGTGAGACCCTGTCTCTAAAAAAGGTAAAATTAAAAAAAAACAAATGACATTTTTTTTTGAGTTGGAGTCTCACTCTGTCACCCAGGCTGGAGTGCAGTGGCCTCTCCTGACTCCTCACAACCTCCACTCCTGAGCATAAATGATGCTCCGGCCTCCGCCTTCCAAATAGCTGGGACTACCGGTGCGCGCTACCACGCCTGGCTGATTTTTTGATTTATTGTAGAGATGAGGTCTTGCCAAGTTGCCCAGGCTGGTCTCAAACCCATGGGCTCAGGCGGTCCTCACCTCTGCCTCCCAAAGTGCTGGGATTATAGGCGTGAGCCACCACGCCTGGCCCAAACTGACATCTTGATAAAACTGGCACTCAGCAGAGATTACCTTGAGATGCGTTTGATGTAGATAGGGCTTTCAGATTTTTAGCACCTCTTAAATTGTGTTTCTCTTGAGAATTCAAACTTCTAAGTGACTTAAAATTTCTTGAATATGTTGAAAAAAGTGATATTGTGTAGGCTTTATATGAATTGTAGATTTTAGAGTGATTGTGACAGGCGCCCTCCCAAGTAGGTGCTCCAACTTTGGTAATTAGAAGTGTTCAAACTTTTCCTTTCTTGGAAATGTTAGCACACTGTAAAATGAAGATGTTTGTAACTTTCAGTATCAAGTAAAGTGAATAACTTAAATGCATTAAATAACCTAATAGGGAAAAAATCCAGTTTTGTAACAGTAGCACAGGTGGAGATTTGTAAGTCAATCTGATTGGCAAGTTAGTTGTTGGTAGAGTCTTTTCCAGCAGTCTATTGAAAAGCAATGTCCTTACTTTTCTGTTATGTGTCAAAAATAAAGCACTTTTTCCTAACCTCTTTGGTCATTAGGAAAAAGCAAATCAATCCACAGTGAGATCCCATTTCACATCCACCAGAACGCCCATAATTAAAAAAACACAATAGCGAGTCTTGGTAGGACAGGCATGGTGGCTCATGTGAGAGGATTGCTTGAACCTGCAGGTTCAAGACCAGCCTGGGCAACTTGGTAAGACCTCATCTCTACAATAAATAAAAAAATTAGCCTGGCGTGGTGGTGCGTGCCTATATTTCCAGCTATTTGGAAGGCTGAGGCGGAAGGATCACCTGAGCCCAGCAGGTTGAGGCTGCTGTGGCCGTAAGTGTGCCACTGTACTCCAGCCTGGGCGACAGAGACTCCAATAAAAAAAAAACCAAAAAAACTAGGAATAACTCAACTAGTGAACATGGTTAAGGTTGAATGACTCTAATGAATCAACTAGGGATTATGTTAACAGCTGAGATTCAACATGAAAAAGTGAAATCTGATGAAAAAAATTTTTTTTTGGAAGTCTGATTTCTGCTTAATCTGTGGTCCACGTATTTTAAGAACAGCTTTCAGTTCTTTTCTCGTTGCTATGGGAGGTGTGCCTCTGCCATCAAGTGCCGATTCACATGATTTCAGTTCTGGAATATTCAAGTCTAGCCTTCTTTATTTATGTGTTCAACATATATTTGC